CAGTTTGGTGATGTTGTCTGAAGAGCAAGGGCAGGGGACCAGGGAATCAGAGTCATCACAGACAAGGGTAGATGATGACTACGTGCCTGGAATATGTTTCTCTCCCAAAGGGCATAGTAACTGCAATAACAGTGGATGATAAATATTGTTGACTTTTTTCTCCCCAGTTCTGTAAAGGCAGTTGTGGTTCTATTAGTTCCATAGCCTGCAGTGCTCTATCGGGCCTGTTTTTGTCCTCTTTTCCTAGCGTCCCTAAAATACTGTCCTTGTTAGCACTTGGTACTTGAGTCAATAAGCTGTTACTTCAAGTTCACCGTCAGAAGTAGTTATCTTTATTTAAAGTCTCCTTTAGTTCTCCTTCTTCTTTACTATCTTCTTTACTATTACCCAAAAATATATGCAGCATACCTCACTTTATGGCACTACACTTTATTGCAATTCAGTTGTTGAATTTTTACAAATTGGAGGCAAGACCCTCCACCAGAGAAGATTTCTACTTGCTTTATTGTGATGCTCGCTTTATCGCAGTGATCTGGGACCAAACCTACAATATCTGCAAGGTATGCCTGTAATTTAATTTGTATGCACCAAAGTTTTTATTATTTTTAATGTAATAAATTATATAAACGTTATATAAACGACATTAAGCAAATACCACCCATACTCTTAAAAAGGTGGGCGGGGGGGGGCGGTGGGAAGGACAGTTGAGGCTAACAACTGTCATGGCATGACCAAATAACACAATCTTAGAAAACAGTACTGTAGGGAATTATTGGACCTTTGTGACCGTTGGCTTTGCTTTGTAGGTGTGTACCACCACTGGGTTTCAAAGGCTTCTATAAATAAAGCAATCTGGGGTTCTCTTCTATTAGGCATTCTTCTTTTGAGAAACCATTTGTTGAGAAGCTTGCGTTTCTAATGTACTCAGGTCAGCTTAATTGGAGCTGGTTTTATACTATGGCCATTCATTAACTTCTTTCATGGTTGACTCTCTGAGAGCCAGAAGACTTGGCCTGGATTCTCAGTGGAAGAACACTATCTAATGTCTCCAAATGGATGGCACTATGGTTCCCCTACATGAGAGAGTTGGAGAGGGGAGAAGCCAGGACTGAGGCCAATTTAGTGTGATGATTGCTTTCACTTCCCTAGGCTGCTGCCCCCAACCTCTCAAAACGGCAGATCTGCCTCTGAGCTCTTGTGAGGAGAGCAGAACTTATACCAGATATCAATTTTGCCCCAATATTCGTGCTTTCTGCTAAAGCACATGCCCAGAGGATGAGAGACGGTCAGGGATTTGTAAAATCGTTGGTGGCAATCATTGGAGGCCCAGGCTGTAAATAGAACACACCCGTTTTCCTAAGTACTGCTACCTCAATAAAGAAGGACCTCTAGAGATCCAGCATCCCCAGATATTGTTCTTTACCGCGCCCTGCCCCGCCCCCCCCATTCCCTTACTTAATGACCAAAGATACTTTTAGTTTGTAGATTTTGGCTGAGAGTGGGGAATGGAGTATTAGAAGCTGAAGTTCTTGCTTTATTTAAACAACAATGACAACAATAACAAAATTCAATGAAATAATGTCCTTTATATTTGAATTTGCCAAATTTACCTTCTTTCAAAAGACCCAAAACATTTCGCCATATTATTCTTTTTAAGGATCATAAAGTAGAGCAGGTGAGGAAAAAACCACTAATAAAGGATAATAGCACTTCGGCAGGCAGGTGTTCTTAGTTTCATCAAAAGAATGACTAGTAAATTCAGTCTTTTTTGAATAATAAAGAATGTCTGTTAGAAAGTTATAATATAATATAAGCACCTTTGGGTGCTTCCTGAAGTGGATTAATACATTAGAGTCTGGATTCAAATTCCAAATAAAGCTGTTGAATACACATAATTATATCCCCCCTGTCTTAGATAAGGTTATTCATTTTCTTCACAATTGAGCAGGAATCTATCTCTGCTTTGTCTAATCTCACCTGATGGGGGGTGATAATGGCCTGGAGGAATAAGCCAGTTTCACCTTTATGGACAGCTGGCTTATCTTTGCAGCCACAAGTGGATTTCTTAGACCTGCACTGTTTCATAGAAATAATGCAAGCCACATATGGAATTAAAAAAATTTTTAGTATTATTTTAAAAAGTAAAAAAGCAAACAAAATGAGTTTCATAATATATTTTATTTAACCTATATAGCCAAAATAGTATTCAACATGGAATCAGTATTTTAGAATTATTAATGAGATCTTTTACATGCTTTTTTTTCCACTGTTTTCTGTTTGCTGTGTGTTTTGCACTTATAGCACATCTCGATTTGAACTAGCCACGTTTTAAGCACTCAGTAGCCCATGCGTGGCTAGGAGCTACATACTGGACAACAGTGTTGACGTGGTGACTGTAAGGAAGCAGCTGGAGGTGCTGCTGCAGTAACAAAGCAGGAAGGCATTATCTGTGAAACCAGGGGTTTGAGCTTTACCCTGAAGGCTAGGGGAGCCATAAAAGGATCTTAGGCAGAGAAGTGCTATTTTTAGTTTTGAACTTAATCTGGGGGTCTCAGAGAATATAGGTTAGAGATTTAGGAGTGGGGCTCAAGCAAGAAGCGTGTTAGAAGGCTGCCGTGGAGGTCCAGGGGAGGAGTGATAAGAACCTGAACTAAAACACCGTGGGGCACGTGGACCAAAGGAAGTGAGAGATGTAGGAGGTAAAATCTTCAGAACTTGGTGCTGACTGTTGGATTTGAAGAGAGGGAGAGAGTAGTCTAGGATAGATATCCGGTGTCTCCCTTGGTCGTTGTGCCGAGTGGTGTTAACTGATGTGGAGCGGTGTTAACTGATGTGGAGTGGAGAGGGCAGGCTGTGAGGGGGGATGAGTTCAGCATGGGGCATGTTGACTTTGAAGTACCTTTGGAACAGGCAGGTAGATATGTCCATTTTGACATGAAAGAGTTCACTCTGAGTATGTGTAGAGTTAGAAGCTATAAAGGCTGGGTAGGAACACTCAGTACTTAAGGTGCCAATTAAAACTTTGGGTGGTAAAAAAGAAGGAGGTGTAAGGCTCAGGTAATCAGGGGCAGCTTTACAGAAAAGGTGGGATTGAAGCAGAGTCTTAAAGAATGAGTAATATTTAGAAAGTTAAAGAAGGTAGAAGAGACAATAGAAATGTAGAGAGGTGAGAATGTTTCAGACACTGAATAAATCTGTCCTGCTGGGCCAGATGGGATTAGGGCTGAGATCAAAGCTGGCCTAATGCAGTTTGCAGACATGTTTTGTTTGGCTTGCATGGATGGGGTTGGATCATGCAGTGTTCTAAATTTAAGTTAGGTGCCAACATTTCCACATAATCCAGATTTCTGACTTCTCTTTAAAGTAAGAGGGGGTCAGGAGGTAGATTTGGCAACACTGGTGGTCCAATATGGTAATAATCAATTGAATTGTATGCTCCCTCTTTCCAACAGTCTGTTTTACTCCTTTATGCTATTTGCCTGAGTCTTGTAGACATTTTGAGTTTTCTACTTCTGAGTCAAGGATCAGTAGGTAATAAAGGTACAAAGATAAATTGGTGACAGATAAGGAGAGTTTTTTAATACCAAACTAAGGAGTATAGATGTAGGCCGTGGGCAACTGATGAATAAGCACTGATGAGATTAGTTAGGATTAGTTAGCCATAGTTAGGATTATTCTAGATCAGTGTGAAACTACAGAAGTTAAGGAGAATAGTTACCAGTTTCGAAAGGGAAAAGACAGATTTGATGGTATTGGCATAACCAAGTGGGCTTTAAAATGCGAAATGGAAGTCTCTGAAGGCGATGTCATCCAGAAAGGCTGCTATTGCCACATGGGAACCATCTGGGTCTTTGAGCTTGCTGGGAAATCTGCTTTGCAGGCTTCCAGAATTCAAGCCAGTGTTTGGTGTAGGGGACAGTGAGTCTGATTGTTTGGAACAACTGTGTTCGTTATAATAGCTCAGTAATTTCAGAGGAAGTAGTAGGAGTACAGACATGCTTTTTCTCCGTGCCATGAGCACAGATAGGTGATCGAGAAAATGGAAGTATTAAGAAAGGGATGACAGACTGAAAACTTGGGTTATGGGAGCAAAGCTAATATTAGACTGGGTGCTGAGCTGCATGTTGTGTCACCCAGTATAACACCTGCCTGGTCACACTGCCTTCTTAAACTTTGGCGGGTTGTTGGTTTGCAGTCATTGTTCTAAGTAGACTGTAAATTAAAGGAAAAGGTCCCTTTAACAAAAATAGGCTAAAATTAATATCTGATCATTATCGTGTCAGGCACTCTTTTAAGTTCTTTATACAGATATTTAATCCTCACAACCAGCCTCTTGAAGTACTATTGCCAATAAGGAAACAGGCCCTAGAGGCTAAGAGCTCACCCAGGGTCATAAGCTTGATAAAGGATGGAACCAGGACTTGAACCCAAGCAGTCTGTCTAGAGGCTTTTCTTTCAATCACTGTGTTAAACTGAATCTTTATCTGTTCTAACATCACACAAATAGGCAAATTCACAGGTAGAGAACCTTATGCTTTAATCCTGGAGGTTCCAGTACACCTTAATTCAGTGTTAGTTTGGTTCGGGCCCACCTAGAAGAAATGAAACTCCAGAATTGGTCCTTAGACTGCCTTCCAGGGGAGGAGATAGTGTGCTGGACCCTGAGAGAGCAAGCTTGTGCGGTGTGTTCAAAGGTCTGTTCTCTTTAGCGAATGGCTCGATGTTAACCTATTAAGTGTGTTGGTAATGCTTTATTAATAATTTTTAAAAAGGCCTCTTATAAAAATACTTATTTCTTTCACGTAAGCTAGATCACGTTAGCGTTCCTTCATATGTTCTCGTGAAAAAATGATCACAGAGCCCCTTTTATAAATATTTGAATTTGGAAGGGGATGAGAGTCTATAACGCTATAGAGAATGAAAGGCATTTGTACAAAGCCTCAAAACTTGTCAAGGTTTCCTACCATATTTAATGTGTCTTCTTCCTCTTTGGTCTACAGATGAAACATGTGAATGAAAGGTTTCAAGATGAAAACAATAAAGAGGTGGTCCTCATGTGCATTGGCATCACGTCAGGGGTTGGGCGGCTGCTCTTTGGCCGGATTGCAGACTATGTGCCTGGTGTGAAGAAGGTTTATCTACAGGTACTTTCTTAAGCTCCCCTCCCCCTCCCCCCCTGCAAAATTATTCTTATTATGGCTCATTATATGCATTTATTTGCTTAAATTTTTCTGTAAAAATGAGAAATATTTTCTAGAACCTAACTTCCACAAGCAGTTTTTCAAGGGCAAAATCACCTATGAGTTTTGGGTTTTCAAAATAAAAAATTGGCGATCAAACAACATCCTTCTTTGTTTTGTCAGGGAACTCCACCAGACTAAAATATTTTTTGCTCATTGCTTTTTCTAAGAAGGTTTTATTTTTGGCATAGTTTTTATAATCATATGCCTTTTACAATATCTTGTGGAATTCAGTGTTGTATGTGTGTATCTTTTTGAGTTTCTTTTTTTGAAAATTGCCTTCTGGGTGTTGTGTAGTACACACTAAACAAATGCTAATTCTAAGATCACATGGACCTCATTTGACAAGTATTTAATTTGACTACTCCATGCCAGACACTGTGTTGAATGCTGCAAATGAAACATGGTCCTTGCCCTCAGTTAGTAGTAGCTAATGGTCTCATGGGGAGATAGATAATACGGTGTTCCAGCAGTGGAATGATGGGTATGCCATATGGGTGCCACAGCAACATAGGCACCAAGCATCTGAATCACAGTGAGGGTCTGAGCAGGCCTCCTGGGCTGGCAGAGTGCTAAGAGCTGAGTAGTAATTAGATAAACAAGGAAGATAGAGAAGGGTGTCCCAAGCAGAGGGCAAAGAGGGGGAGGTGTGACATAGTACATTATGTCTGGGAAACTGTGTGTTTGAACAGAATAAAGAGAAAACAGTAGATTGATTGGCTGGGGGGACAGGCAGGAGCCAAGTTGCCAAGGGACTTTATGAGCACAAAAGAGGATGAACTCTATTCTGAAATATACCAGGAGCCATTAAAGGATTTTAAGCAAGAGAGTGATATGATTGATATGAGTTGTATTTTATAAAGTTTAACCCAGTAACTGAAGGGTGGCAAGAAGAGGAGAGGGGGGTAAGAACTGAGATAATCTCAAAAGGTCACGTGTTGAATGGTTCCATTTCTGTGAGGTGTCCACAGTAGGCAGCTCCATAGAGTCAGAAAGTAGATTAGTGATTTCCAGTGGTTGGGGGAGGAGGAAATGGGGAGTAACTGCTATTGGGTATGGGGTTTCTTTCAGGGATGATATATTCTAAAATTAGACAGTAGTTACGGTTGTACAACCTTGTTAATGAACCAAAACCCGTTGCATTGTCTCCTTTAAATGTGTGACTTTTATGGTATGTGAATTTATATCTCCGTAAAGCTGTTTAAAAAGAGTGGAGGCAGAGGGATCAGTTGGCGACTCTTGAAGTACTCCAGGCAGGAAGAACCAAGGCAGAGATATTGGAATCAAACAGGGAGTAAAATAGGGATATAAGGAATAAGAGATTGAAGGAGCTACCTAAGCTGCGTCTGAGTTTTATGGCTCGGATAACAGAGTGGATGGTTTTGCAGTTTTATCAAGATCAGTAATTCAGTAAATCAGAGTAAGGTGATGATTTCATGTCTTCCATGTTAAGTTTGTGGTGCTTGTGGGAAAGCTAAGTTGGGTTTGGAGCTACTGAGAGTCTGGATAAGAGACCTGTGGGACTTTGGCATTCATGGGCCGTGGGATGAGTGGAGGACCAGGGGTGTGCAAGGGAGACCCACAGGCAGTGGCCAGATTGGTAGGGAAAAAGCAGGGCACAGAGTGTTTCCAGGGGCAGGAGTGGTCAGCAGTGTCAGGAGCTAGTGAGAGGGCAGGCGTGTTAAAGACTAAAAGGTTTTCATTAGATTTAGCAACAGACGTCGTTTCAGTGGAGTGGCAGGTGCAAAAGATGGATCATGATCAGTTGAATAAATGGAAATATAGACAACTTTGCCCAAAAGCTTGGCTGTGGAAGGAAGGTAAAGGAGAGCAGAAAGGGGTCTAGGGATTGAAGGACTGAGCATGTCTGCTCACTGCCTAGATGAGAGGCAGTATTTGAGCAGGGTCTTAAAGGAAAGGTGGAGTTTAGGCACAGGAAAATGATTGGAAAAGGCATTTATTACAGATACAGTAACTTACTATGTATGGATGCGAAAGTTGGATGGTGAAGAAGGCTGATAGGAAAAAAATTGGTTCTTTTGAAACAAAGTGTTGGAGGAGAGCTCTAAGGATACCCTGGACTGCCAGACAGACAGACAAGTGGGTCCTAGAACAAATTAAGTCTGAAACATAGGTAGAGGCAAAAATGACAAAACTGAAGCTTTCCTACTTTGGGCACATCATGAGAAGGCAGGGTTCTTTGGAAAAGGTAATAACGCTGGGGAAAAAAAGACAACAGGACAAGGGGAAGACCCAATATAAGATAGATTGATTCTATATAAGCAGCCATGGGTATGAATCTGTAGAAGCTGAACAGGGCTGTTGAGGGCAGGACATTGTGGACATCACTCCTTCATAGGGTCAGTAGGAGTCAGAGCCAACTCGATGGAACGCAACACACACAAAATAACTTCCATTAATTGATTTGAAGTAATAACATCACCACATATTAAACACCTCCACATGCCAGACAAGGAACTAAGTGCTCTGCGTGCATTATCTCCTTTACTGCTCACCCGGGCCCTTTGAGGATGGTACCATCAGTTGTTATTTCCACGTAGAGATGAGAACACTGAGAGACAGAGAGGCTACCTCACTCTATGACTCCGCAGGGAGTCTGCTCATACAGCTAGAAGGAAGTGTATAGATAGCTGGAAGAGTGCTACTTTTTAAAATATTTACTATGATCTTTCCCCCTTTTATTGATACCTGACTGTGGATATTTTTGTTAAACATTTAGCAGAACATTTTGTCTTTTCCCAAGTGTCAAAGGAGCCCTCTAATGGGCATTTGTTGCATTATAGACTTTTCAGCTTCCTTTGCAAAAATTTATTCAAAAAATTGAGGCTTACTGCACCCCAAGGATCTCCCAGGCCCAGACCCTGGCGGGGGGTGATATAAACAAGACAGACATGGTTTCTGAGTTCCTGGAGCAAGACTCAAGGCAAGAAAAAGCTGGGCATGTTTGAGAACTCGAGAAGACAGGGGAGTGGCATGGTAAGCGGTTGGAAAGCTAGGTGGAGTCAGATTATACAGGGCCTTGAAGCCAAGGTGATGAGATTTTAAGTGTAGTGGGTCTTTGTTGGAGAATAACATGGTCTGATTTTACATTTTAAAATCACTATGGTTGGTCTGTGTGTGGCGGATGGATTGCTGTAGGGAAGCAGGAGTGCAAGAGGGGAGGAAGACCAGTTAGGAGACCAGTACAGTGGTCCAGGTGAGAGATGATGGAGGTCCAGATAAGATGCAACACTGGATGAAGTCACGGTATATTTTATACATCAATGTTTTACTCCATAGCAACCTCTGAAAAATTTCCCCACTATAGGTAGGTCAATCAGGTTACTTACAATATTTTGGGAGCACATTTTAATACATAATACGTGTAATTTGCAAAAGAAAATACAGACTTTCCTAACCTGTCCCATGTTTTGTCTGCACTCACACAGCAGTGAGTTCAAAGTAATTTCATTTTAGATGAAAGGTTCGTCACAACCTTTTAGGTCTTCCTTTAGGTCTTTTTTTCATCCAAATGTTGTGCAGTGTTTGTGGCACTGGATAGTACATGCCGAGTCACAGGTGAGATGACTGCATTTCAGAGAGGCCTGTGAAGGAGAAAGAAGAAGGCCTTCAGTGTGTCCTGTAGTTTCTGGGAGCCAGCGATTGGCTCCATCTTGTGAACACAGTGGCGCAGGAGCCAGCACGGGCCCCACCCACACAGGCTATTGGACTTGCTCCTTTACCTCACTCCTCTGCACTCTCTCCTTTTTCCTGGCTTCCCCGCCCCGACTCCCAAACATTCGGTGTGGTTTTTGGTTCTTGGCTCTTCTCTGCTGCGTCCAACTCGAGTTCTGTTTGCTCATTCCTCTTTCCCCCTCCTTCTCTCCCTCCTGGCTGTCTGCCTTTTGGCCCAGCCTTTAACGGTTGGAATGCTTTTGCTGTTTACCTCCCTTTTCTTGGTGTGTTTTCTCAGACACATCCACTCCCTGCTTTCGTTACATCCCAACCTCTTGGGGCTGTGACAGTTCTCTCCCTTCCTTGTCCCCTTGCAGCCAGTTCTGAGTAGCAGCTGGGCACAGAACACACTTCACAACCTTGCACACGGTCTGGTTTCTGGTCATAGGCATCTTGGGTTTGGGAGGCTACAGGCTAGAAAAACAAGCTCTGAAGTAAGACATGAGTGCATACCAGTGCTGCCACTGATTTGTCCCCAGAACTGGCAGACGGCTGTGGTGAGGATTCATAGTGACAGCATATATGAAGTGCCAGCCCAGTAGATGATTAATAAACCCTTGCTTTTATTATGTTTTAATATTCTATTAAATACTGAGGCAGATCCTGATTTGGAACGGGTCTCGAGAAAGGAGACCTGGTTATCCTGAACTAGAGGTAACAAAGAGTTTATGACTCTTGCTCAAGAGTTCTGAATTTAAACTTTCATTAAGGTCTCAGGCTCCAGGTATTTTCAGCATAATAATTTTAAATGCTGAGTGAAGAGATGACTGAACCGCATTGTACAGAATAAGAATGGTTCAAGAAAATCTTTGCAAAGGTTCCCAGTGTGTGTACTTTAGTAGGAGAGCAAAGGCTGTGTTCTGGTATCTTTTTACCATCTTTCTTCACAAGCTTATCTTTCTAGTCACCATTAAATTACTATAGATTTGTGTCTTGAATATGTAACTGTTTCAGAAGTATGAGAATGTTTCAAAGGTTGGAAGTTATAACTGTAATGAAAGAATTGAAAACTTTGGATTTAGATCACTTTCCCTTTGTGTCTGTTTCTTCGTGACATGGGCATACTGAAGTGTGGACATCATACCCATGTATGTAAAGCAGACAGACCCAAACAACGTGTGTGTGCATAGGAAAGATCTAGGAGGATGCAAACCAAATTGTTGAGTGGTTTTTCTTGACGAGGAAAGTAGGCATGGGTTGAAGGTGGGAGGGGGTTGAAGGCAGACTTTCATCTACCACTGTATACATTTTTCTAAGGTTTGAATTTTGTAAATAATGTTTTCATTAAGAGTTATTTTTGTAATTTAGAAAATTTTGTTGTAATTTATAAAAATTAATCACTTTCATATCCATCTTTTTCTGTAAGCTTCCTCTTCTGGTTGAGGTAGAATGAATTGATCAGTGTTGCCCAGTTTTTTGTTCCATTTTCTTAAAGATACCCTGGGATATATGCTTTACCAACACAAGCTATTTCCAAAATAGTATCCAAATACTTAGCAATTCCCAATATCAGGCATAAGAAATAAGACTATAAGGCCCTCTATTCTTCCCTAAGCTATGGCACTGGGGACAGTTCCTCCATCAGGCAGAAATGATGGTACTCATGTACTGTGGCTTCTGTCTTTAGAAGAAGCTAGCCACACTCGGCTGTGGCCTGAACACTTCCTGTTAGTTTGTGATGGACTAGCAGACCTCTGCTGCCAACTGATTTTTGCCCTGGGTTCTTAGCCAGAGGCTCTAAAAGTCTGGAAACTTTATATCGAATGAATGTATAAGAGGAACACTTGAATCTAACTGTGGCCAATTGTGCATTTGCCTCTGAAAATGCCTTCTGCTTATTCAGGTACAGTTCAGTTTTCCTCTTGAACTGTACTTAGATTCCTGAGCAAAAGTTAAACTGACATTTCTCCAAGAATGCTCTCTTTGTGATAGAAATGGGAAAGGTAACATAACTAACTCAAGCAGGGTGTTATTCTCCTAGAGTCATGACAGAAGATATTTCTTTGTATGGTTTTAAGGAAACAGAAGCAAGAAAGACAACTCAACTGTCAATGCCTTATTAAATGTCAGTGCCAGGGCCTGGAAGAGAATTAGAGACCTTCGAATCTCTTTTTTAAATCTAATCAGAGCTGCTGTGTTTGAGGAAAGAAAAAGCGCATGTAATACTAAATTTATTCACCTTTCAAACTTTGGAGCCCAATATCTACATCTCAATATTTGATATATGGGACAATATTTGTTTTGGGAAGTGATAAGGACATACCGAACTTCCTAGGTGAGCAGTTTGCTCAACCTTGGCACGAGCTCCTCATGGCTTGAGTATCCCTGCGTGTGAGGAACAGGTATCTCCTCACCAGCTTGGCCTTTTTTTTTTTACCTCCTAACTGAGCTACATTTTGTGTAGTGACACCTGCTGGGAAAGTGCATTGTTTCTCACTACTGTAGCTACAAGTAAGGTAGAATCAGCTAGTTATTTTCTGAGAAATGCTAAAGAGTAAATGTGTCAATCTCTATGAACTCAATTCTTAAAAAACAAGAAATTTTACTTTGAAATAACAATTTAAAATATAGACGACTTATTAAAACCTAATAAATTTAAATAATTCTTGTCAAATAATGGAAAAAGAGAGAATACAAATTGATGTAGTTTGAAATGAGAAAAGGAGAATTTGTAGTCAGATTAAGTATTAAGAAGAAATACGCTCAACATATATAGTAATAAATTTGAAACTCTAAGTGAATGATTTCTTACAAAACTGACCAAAGAACAAAAATTTGAAGGGACCTAAAGTGGATTAAAAAATGAGGATAACTACCAAAAGTAAAGTGTGCCTGAGTCTTATGCTACATAAATTGGTCCAACAAACATTTGTTTATTGAGCAAAATTGACTTAGTGCCAAGTAGTATGCTAGGTTTTCAACAGTTCGCTCTGGTTCTCTTATCTTGGAAGAGAACAAAATAGTAAAAGACTGGAAACACATTCAAAGAAAAAATATATTTCTTTCTTCCCTTAGCCAAACACTGGTAGTATAATTACAGTGGTGTGGTTGGGAATATTTGGTCTATGGCTTTCTTAACTAAACTCGTATCTGGCCCCATGATATCCTAAAGATTTATTCTAGATTTTCTAGAGTTTGTGATGATAGGTATGTTTCTAAGAGTCAAATGACTTTCCATGTTTATCTCCTTTTATGTTTGTAAGTAGAGTTAAAAATATATCTATAATTAAGAATATTAGGGTTTTTGTGGTTAAAAAAAACCTCCTTAAACCTTTACATACTTGTTATATCTCCTTGTATAGATAGGAAGCATCAGAAAATCTTTTTAGCTGCTCAAGATCACAGAGAGCTAGAATCTGGCCCCTCTGAGTCTTAGTTCCTTCCTGCCTACCAGTCTGCAAACCCAGTAATTACTCTTGCTAAAAAATTATGCTTTCTTAGAAGTTGGGTTGGGTTAGAAAAAAAGATATTTAAGTAGAAAATTTAAAAACCAGGAGAATGGGGAGACTGCATTCTTTAGGATACATGAAGTGCCAGACATTTTTTTTCACATAGCTAACTCAGCTACAGCCATGCCACCCTGAACGTGCCTGATCTCACCTGATCTCGGAAGCTAAGCAGGGTCGGGCCTGGTTAGTATACTTAGGAAGACCAGGTGCTGTAGGTGTTAAAAACAAACAAACAACAAAAAACAAATTGCCAACTCAGAGTCTTAAACTAATTATAATTCTATCATAAAGTCGCATTTTAGTAATGAAGAACAAAAATTTACTCAGCTATGTGGTATGATGATATCAAAAAGAGACCTAACTTGGAGTTTGAAACCTTTTACAAGAGCAGGTTTCTTATTGTGGGGTCTGTGGATCACTTGTGTTACGGTGAAAACTGCCGTTCCTGGGTCCCACACCCACACCCTGCATCTTCAGGAGCTCTGTGGCGATCCTGACGCACACTAAGGTTGTGAGGGCCGCCTTGAGATGGGCCACCAAGCTTGGTGTGCCATAGCTGTGCCTACTGGGCCCTAGGAAAAACAACAGATGAAGATGGTGACCCAGAGAGCTGTTTCATATGGTCTCTCCCTCCCTCCCCATCCCCACTGACATTGCAGGGCACCCTCTAGGAACAGTTCCATCAGCTCCCTGCTGCTGGCCACACAGACCCTGGATTCCAGGCCGTGCTCCATCTGGGCATGTTACCAAACCTCTCTGAGCATCACTATCTTCATCCATAAAATGGGGATAACATTAGTATCCACCTCATAAAGTTAATATAAGGATCACTATCCAAAATTCGTAGAACAATGCTTGACATTTAATACATAGTAAATAAATAATAGTTGCTATTATTTGTATACTTTTTAAAACACCTGATACTTTTTAAAACATTCTGTAGACTAGTCAGTTGTCTAGGTTTAATTACTTCTTTGCCTAAAAAAGTTATTGAATTGTCTGCTTCTTTTTTTTTTTTTTGTATACCCACCATGCTTTAAATATATAACTTTGGTTACATCACATCTAGAACACTTCGTGTGCATTTATTTATGTATTCATCTCCCCAAACCCAAGGGTAGGAACCAGGTTTTATTCACATAGCAGAGTAGCTTCCAAATGGCAGGCAAATTGAGGTGTTTGATTCTATTAACTATTCTCTAACTCTAAAATGAAAGTGTTTAATGTCTCGAAATATTTCTCAATCTTAACTCTGGGGTACTTAAGTAGGGTACCTCTACAATATATCACCAAAAGACATAATGTTTGAAAATGCTCTTTGAAGATAATAATTATACTGATCTATGCTATGAAATAATAAAATTGGATTACCTAAATTAGTTCTTAGGATGTTATTGTAGACTGTATTTACTGTTTTCATTACATATTATGTATCACATATTTCCTATGACAGTCAAAACTTAATTAGGATTTGAATAATCAAAATTCAGTACATATTTACATAATATATATCAAATCATTTATGTAATAATATCAAATCATGTACTGAATAATCAAAATTCAGTGCATATTTATATAATATGTATCATACCATAGTTACTTATTTTAATCTAACTTGGTCTGAATGTACTCATTGTGTCTGGAATATTAGCAGGCAGTATATTCTAAATTGATTATTTAAATATCTAAAAACTTATATCACCCCCAAACTGAAAGCTCTATGATGTGAAGAACACATCTTGTTGGCAGGTTTCATTTTGCAAAGGACTAATATCAATAAATTATATATAATTTCAAAGGTGAAATTAAAAAAGTTTGATGAATGAATTTGGGCTGATAGTCAAAGAACAAATATTTATTGAGCACTGACCTTAAAGAATGATCCTTAAACCTTATAAATATCTAGTCCAAAGTTGACTTTTACAGATTCTGACCTCAAAGAGCTTACAAGCTTGAAGGGAAAGTAAGTAAGTATATAAAATAGTTCTTTTCTCTTTGTCCCTTAATGGAAATACGAGAAAGTGCTGGGGGAACTCAGAGAAGATGATTATGGAAGTCAGTTATGAAAATCAAGGTGAACTGGCCAGGGAGGCAACTTACCAACAGCTACTTAAAAGTCCTAAATATGTTTCTCAGTAATTGTAACATTCACTTTTTCTGAAAGCAGAGTTGACATTGTGGTATCTGTCCTAGGTAGTCTCCTTTTTCTTCATTGGTCTGATGTCCATGATGATTCCCCTGTGTAGTGTCTTTGGGGCCCTCATAGCTGTCTGTCTCATCATGGGCCTCTTCGATGGATGCTTCATTTCCATTATGGCCCCCACTGCCTTTGAGTTAGTTGGTGCCCAGGATGTCTCCCAAGCAATTGGATTTCTGCTCGGATTCATGTCTATACCCATGACTGTGGGCCCACCCATTGCAGGTATGTAATGATTCCCCAGTAATAAATTCATAGCATTTTCTACTACAGGTCCTAAGTCTCATTTATATGTAAAATATAATTTATTGGTTACCTGTGTTTCATTTTTGTGTGTACCTTACCTGTAATATTTTTAATAAGGCCAGCTGTAGATGGTATGTTGAAATAGGTTTGCTGAGGAGTCCCTCTTATCCTTACTATTATCTAAAACACTTAATAAAATGTGTAACAGTACTGGGCTTTAAGCTTTCATAATTCTTAAATTTCACTCAGTGTTTTTGGAGGAATGGGAACATTATTTCTTTTTAGAAAGAGATGAAGATTCTGTCAAAATATGTATACTTTGTATAAGAGATCATATTCCCCTGAGAAACAGTTAATGAAAAATAGCATTTAGTGGAAACAACCCAAAAGTCTATTAGCAGATGAATAAACAAAATGTGGTATAGCCGTACAATGGAATATTATTCAGCCATAAAAAGGAATGAAGTACTATGGCATGCTACCAGGTGGATGAATCTTGAGAAGAAGCCAAATATAAAATGTCACATGTTGCATGATTCCATTTATTTGAAATACCCAGAATAGGTAAATCTGCAGGGACAGAGAACAGAGTGGTGATAGGTTGCCAGGGGTTGGAGGGAAGGAGGATTAAGGAGTAACTGCTTAATGGGCATGGAGTTTCCTTCTGGTGTGATGAAAATATTTTGGAACTAGATATAGGTGGTAGTTGCACAACACAGTGAATGTACTAAATGCCACTAAAATGGTTAATTTTATGTTATGTGAGTTTCACCTTTAGAAATTTTCTGATAGTATAAAGATGTCTCATGTCCAGTATTACTTGGGTGCCAGTGTGAATTATTATAAGAAAATTTGATAAAGTTATAAAATTTAAATGTATGTACTATCATCTGTGTATGGCACGTGAGAGGCTCAGTTAAAGTTAGCTCAATTCATTCTCATATCCAGAACCACACATATCTAGCAACTTTGCCAATTGGGAAACTAGTCATGAATCAAGCAAGCAGAGTCACTACTGCACAGACCAAATAAAATTTAAGTTCTCAAGGTCATAGTCTTCTCGTAGGAGAACCCTTCAGTCCTTCCCCTTTCTCCAGCTAGTCACATTATTTTTACACCTTACAAACTTAGTTTTTTAGGGTCTCCAAGTCCACAACAGATTACAAGCAGCACTTTAGTAGGAATGATATTTGCTACTAGAAGTAACTGATAACAGACCAAGAATAAAGGAGGTAACAGGAAACTTCCAAAGCAGGCAGAACAACACAGCAACTGGCTGCAGGTAAGCCCCTGGCTTACCAGTAAGTTCTGCGGGTATTACAGCCAAACATATTAATTAGTGTTCATAACAATGAAAGATTTATATATGGAATATTCTGATTCAGAAGATAGGAAAATCACATATTTAGATACATAGTACATTTTAGGTCTCTATCCAGAATGAATGTACTTTTTTTTAAATGTGTTGGTACTTAATTGGACAAACCCTCAACAGAGTCAGATATTCAGTATAGTGTACTCCCTGGACATTTCACATAACTGAGATTATATAGTAAAAGTTACAAAAGTTTAAAAACACTAAGATAACCATTAAAATTTGGATTTTGTTAGAGAAATTAAATATAAGGAGTACTCTAAATAACAGTTTTCAGATGCAGAGCCCAAGGATCTATTAGGGTGCCACACAGAGTCATATATTTTCCTCTCATGTGCTGACAAACCTTAGTATCTTTTCAAAATGTATTTAACAACCTTTTTCTTCCTAACTTATATTTATATAAAATTTATAATTTTTCATGATTTTGAATTTTAAGTAGTTTCATGTTATTGCATAAAAACTAGGCCAAGAAAAGTTTGAAATGTAGACATTTTGGGGTGTGTATGTGAAGTTTCAGCTTGGTGGTCTGTCCACCTTCACATCAAGTGTGAGAACGCCCCAGATGGCCTCTGAGGGGTTTTCAGAAAGCCAAACCTTGGTTGCAAATATTTTTCCATGTGATATCTTGGTATAAAAACCCAGAGGCCTGTAGTCTGTGACAAGATTAAAGGTACGAGGTCTTTTCCTTCCTCATATCAGAAAAGGTTTATATTTCACACATTTCCTAAAAAATGTCCAATAGTCTGAG